GACTAAAGGCGTGTACCACCACACCTTGAGGTCACAGAGGTCAATCTCTACCTTTGTCCCTAGAAGCGATGGAGAATGTGGTTGCGGCCCTCCACACGCACACACGCGCGTGCGTACACACACACATACTGCCCTTCTCTGGTCCCTCTGTTTTCTCCTTGGTGCCCAGACCCTCTGGGTGAGTCTCAGTGGCTGCAATTATTTAAAGCACAGGGTAGCTGGGCCAAGGGTACAGGCCTGTCATCTCAGCCACTCAGGTGGCAGAGACAGGAAGCTTGCAAATTTGAGGCCCACCTGGGACACAGTGTGAGTTCCAGACCAGAACCAACCTCAAAACAAAACATTAAAACGGTCCTGTGGGCATGGATCAGTGTAGTATGCTTGCTTAGAACCTGCCCCCAGGGAGCTGACAATGGGATTAAATGAGATGATACAAGCAGAGTTTAACCATAAGATCTGTGCAGAGCAGCGCTTGGTATAGGAGTTAATGTTACTAATGGATCATTCCCCTGTGCACCTTAGACATCCTGCACTCAAGCAGGAATCCTGGGACAGGCTGGGAAGGGAGCGAGAGTATTGAGATTACAGAGGGGCTCAGTAATTTGTAGCAAAGAGTCACATGCCAGGTAGTAGCTTGGGGAAGCCGACCTGGGCAGTGGTGTGTGCTAGGGCTGTGTCCTTCCACCTGGCAACTCAGATGAGGGGGTAGTGAAGTCGGCTCAACATGGGGTAGGTGGTGCTAGGAGCTTTCCAGATAAGGGGACATGGACATTGATTGTATGGGTGTGCATGCGTGTATACTCATGTGTACATGTATATACTGTGGGGATGCATGTGGAGGCCAGAGGTCAACACTAGGTATCCTTCTACCATTCTCCACTTTATTTTTTGGGAGGTTTCCCTTGAACCCAGAGCTCTGCATCTCAGATGACTGATCAGTGAATCCCATGATCTGCTTGTCTCTGCCCCACCCATCCCTGTACTGGGGTTACAGTCACATCACAGGTGTGCACCACCATACTGTACATCTGATATTGACTCTGGAGGGACTTTCTGTGGTCAGGGACATCCTGATGCTGTCTTTTCCTTCAGGGGGTTGAACAACACATGAAAAGCACTAATTACATCTAGAAAAGTCAAATGAAATGTTCCAAACATACGCACGTGCACACTTACACTCAATGCATACACCCGCATGCACATACAAGCACGTGTATTCACACACACAAGTACACACACATGTATGCATGCTCTTGCACACGCACACGCATGCACACGCACACACACACACACACACACACACAAGCTAAAATATCAGACTCAGAGAAAACACAGAGGACAAACTTCAGGCCACAACTTCTTGGGTGTGACACTCAAAGCAGAGGAAGCAAAAGAGAAGAGGCCAGTTGGACTTCATCAAAACTGGATCCCTAAAAGTCAAGTGACGCTGTCCACAAAGAGACCAAGTGAGCCATGGGGGGTGGGGGGTAGAATCCATTTACAAATGACACAGTGACAAGGGGTTGGCATCCTGGATATAGAGAACACCAATAACTCAATGGCAACAGAGTCCAGTTGAAAACACACAACAAGGGCCAAGCCTGACAGTTCTGTGGAAAATCCAAGTGGGAAAAACTGGGTACTACCAACTTTTAGGGAAATGTCAATCAAATCTATAGCACTCTCTGAGATACTGACTCATACCCATGGGAGTAGCTAGTATTTAAAAACCAACCAACAGCCAAGTGTGGTGGCACACACCATTAACCTTGGCACTTGGGAGACAGAGGCAGGCAGATCTCTGTGAGTTTGAGGTCAGTCTGGTCTACAGAGAGAGTTCTAAGCCAGTCAGGGCTACACAGTGAGACCCTGTCTCAAAAATACAAGCAGGTGAACAAAAACCAGCAGCTGGGCTTAGCAGCTCGTGTTTGTAATCTTAGCACTCAAAGAGGTCAAGACAGGAGTGCACTCCAGTTCAGGCTAGCTACAGCCAGAAGTTCTGCCCTCAAAACCAAGCAAGCAAGCAAACAAACACATAAAGCAACACAGTAAACCAGACAGTCTCACATGTTGACAAAGGTATACAGAAACTGGACCCCATGTGTATCTTGTTTGTTTGTTTGTTTGTTTTTGAGACAGGGTTCCAGTGTAGCTTTGGAGCCTGTCCTGGAACTAGCTCTTGTAGACCAGGCTGGCCTCAGACTCACAGAGATCCGCCTGCCTCTGCCTCTCAAGTGCTGGGATTAAAGGCGTGTGCCACCACAGCCTGGCTTGTGTGTTACTGACAGAAAGGTAAAAGTGGTCCACACCACGTAGGAAACAGGGTGGTGGTCTCTTAAAAGGGTCAAATATAGAATGCCTGACATTTTGGTATCCTCACTTGTAGGTATCTACTCCAAAGACTTGAAAAAGTATTTGAAAGAGACATTCATAACAACAAAATTCACAAGCAGCTAAAGGTACTAACACCCTCCATGCCCTTAGGCTGAATGGGTAAATAAAATGTGGCATGTCTGTTCAAGGGACTAGTGTGCACCCTGAAGAAGGGAAGAGCAGCCTAACAAATGCTTGAGCATGGATGAACCTTGAAGGTATGGTGCTCAGTGAAGTAAGAAAGATAAAAAGGTAAATAATGTGTGATTCCACCTAAATGTGTCAAGTTTCTATGCATAAAAAGAAGAGGATTGAATATTCTGGAGTACAGAAGAGGTCAAAGAGAAGTTATGGTTTTATGGATACAAAAGTCTCATCTTGAGACAAGGGGATGTTCTGGTGGTGGGTGGTGGCGATGGTGACATAACACCACGAGCATGCTTGATGCCGCCAAACTGGACCGAAGAATGGCTAAAATAGTAAATTACATATAATAATATAGATTGTGTGTTTCACAAAATCAAAATGCTTGGCCCGTATAAGCTTCACCTCTGGAAGAGAAAAGAGATTGAGACAGGTTTAACTCTTATTTTTCACTCATTGTCAGCTATGTGGTGAAGTGGCAGCAGAGCCTTTCTGAGTCTAATTTTTCCATCTGTGGAGTTGGGATGCTGAAAGCCTCACACTTGTGTGTTGGGGCTGTGGCAAAAAGTCATTAAGATATCCTGGTAGAAGAGCTCTGGGAAGCATCTGGTACACACAGATGCTCCATAGATGTACCCTGGTGTTCAGACTTAGACATTGGCCCTCTGTCCATCTGCACCCTGGGTTTACTAGCAGGTATGGGCAGCAGATGGGAGGAGCCCACGTCTGTTGTCAGGAAGGAAGGAACTGAAGCACTAACCGAACAGTTGGGCTTAAATGTCCCTGCCAACATGTCCCCACAGTCTCAAGCGTTCAGCACCTGAACTCCAGCTGGTGGTGCATTCTGGGAAGTGGGGAAACTTTAGGCGGTGGAATCTCACTGGAGGAAACTGTCCACTTCCTGACCACTGCTGTTTGACCTGCTCAGCCACACCCTCCTCTTCTATGACAGACTGAGACGTCTGAAGCTGAGAGATAAATTCATCTTTCCTCTTTTTAGGATATGTCCTTTGCCCTGTCACAGTGATAAGGGGACCAAAACCCACACTTTAGGATGTGAATACTGAGCAGACAGGAATGGGGGTGCACGCCTGTAATCCCAGTAGCACTTGTGGACTGGGGCTGAGACAAGAGCATCATTAGTTCAAAGTCATCCTGGGCTTACAGTAAGATAATTCCTCTCTTTTCCTTCTTCCTCTTTCTCTCTCTCTTTCTCCCCCTCCCTGTTTTGCTGTGTTGGGAATTGGGTGCCAGAGACCTCTGTATGTCCTGAACACTCAGCCACCACATTGAGACCCACATTAGAAACGAAACATGATATACAGTAGGCACTCAATAAAGACAGCATATGCCCACCTTGCTCACCTGCTGGGCTCTGGATGGTGTCTCCAGCACCCCCACCATTACCATGCTCCCAGCCCTCAGAATCCCAGACAGTTGTACTCATTCCTGCCTCTGAGGCCCTGCGCATGGGAGGCCCATGGCTTCCTCGCCCAGGAGCAGAGGAGAGATGGGGTCTGCAAGAAAAGGGATGGCTTAAAACAGAGAGAGGGCAGGGGTAGGGTGAGATCCCAGAGTGGGAGACAGTTGACAGAACTCACCTGGCTTCTGACCTGGGGCCCTCCTCTCCCCCATGTCACCTGAAAAGAGAGAGAGAAATAATGCAGAGAGCTAGTTTTCTGGTCTCTGTGGAGTTCTCACCTCAGAGATACACAAGGGGATCAGCCTGTTACTGGAAAAAGCTTTAAGTAAGTTTCCCACCAGCCTCTCCCCTGAGCTTCTTCCTAGTGTTTCATTTCCTTATTGCAAGTGGAGACAAAAACACAGACCAACAAAACAGTGACCATTTCTTCTGTCTAAACTGGCAGGTCTGTCCAACCTTTGACATCACAACATAGCATTGTTATCTGTGAATCCATGAGCAAGCACCACACAGCCAAGTTACAAAAAAAGACTAAAAATTCTGCTTCTGTTCTAAATAAATTTGCAGTTTTGTTTTGGGCTGCATTCATGCCTATCCTGAGCTGCATGTGACCTGTGGACTGTGGGTTGGACACTCCTGGCAGAGAGAGGAAAGGGTGATCAGGAAGAAGGATAGTTGGTAGAACTGCACACGCCTCAGGAACACTGTGGCTATTGACAACTTGGTTATTCTCCAAGAAGTAGAAATGGCTCATGACACTCCATAGAGAAAACCTTTGGCACCAGGCTCCAGGACTCTGAGAAGTTGTCCTATGAGAGATCAGGTCAGGCACTTATATTTGAGCCCTGTATCTCTAGCTCTCTTTTGAGAAATGATGCCCCAGCATTGCTGCTCCAGTTGGATCTTACATCCAGTGTTAATTGAGATTATTACAAGGGCTTTGTCTGGCCATTCTAAGTGTTGCTGTCCAAGGAAAATAAGATTTTATGGAGTCATTTTTCTTCCTGTTTGCCTTTCTCTCTTTTAATGAACATTTTAATTATTAATAACTATACTCAGATAACAGCCATGATATTAATAGTGCTGGTAATTTCCTTTAGCCAATTTCATTTCTATTCATCTTTCACTTTTAATTAGTCCAGTTTCAGAATTGTTTATAATTAATATAGTTAATAGAAGAAACAAAAGTAAAAATCAGGCATGGTATAGCACACCTATAAAGTCAGCACTTGAGAGGTAGAGGCAGGAGGTTAAGGTTCAAGGTCACCAAATCTTCAGATACAAAGTTTCCTAGGCTACATAAGATTCTTCCAAAGAAGAAGAAAAAGGAAGAAAAGAAAGAGAGAGAAAGGAGAGGGAGGAGGGGACAGAGAGGAGGAGAGGGTGAAGAAAAATGAGGAGGGAGGAGAAGAAAGAAGAAAAGAATAGAGATAGAAGAGGAGACAGGAACACAAGACAATCAGGAAAGCCATTTTAGCAGGTCCAAGTTCCCTAGGAACCATGGTATATTCAGGTGAGTGGGGTACTCTTCCAATTTCTAATTTTAATTTCTTATTTTGTGCTTTTCAATTTCCCATGAAAGAAGACAGCAAAATACTTGGCAATCTGGCTTCTCGAGAAAGTTTCCATGAAGGAATACAGCAAAGCACTTGGCAATCTGGCTTTTCTAGAAAGTTCTACCCTCCAAAAAAAAACAGGTTTATGGTAAACAGCAAAGGGGCTAAGGAGTTCTAGGCTAGAGACCAGAAACTGATTTGCAACAAGTACTTTGCTATGACACCTCCAGGTAGACCAGTAGGCCGAAACCTGTCCAAGGTTCTGAAAGGGGTTGGTTTTGTCCTACCTTGAGCTGGAGCTCAGACTGTGTGTCTGGATTCAAGTGTAGGCTGTTCCGGGGCAGCAGGCTCACCAGCAGGGGCTTGGTCTTCTTTATAGGTATGGGCTGTGGAAGGACCTACTTGGGGAAACCCTTGAAGAATCATGCTCCTGAGCATTTCCAGACCTGGGAAGGGAAAGAGACAGGTTTGGGAAAGATGGAAGCCAACTGCCAGTTTTAATCTTTGTTCCCACAGCTCATGGCCATGACAGTGGCCGCATACATCTGTTCCACTATCAGTCTCACAAACCTGATGGTCATGTTGTTGATAGAGAAAGTTGAATGTTTGCCCTCTCAAGGATCAATCCAATAGCTCAGTGTCAGAGAAAAGAGTGAGGGCTCAATACCAATTCTCTCATCTTGTAACTAAGGCCTTGTGCTTGATGTAAGGAGGCTGGGGAGACAGAAGAATCAAGAATTCAGGTTTGAGGTCAGCCTGGGCTACACGAGACCTTGCCTCGAATGGATAAAATAAAGCAGATAATCTAATCCCTGACAACTTCTTCAAGACCCCAAGCTTTTATCATGACTTCAGGTTAGACAAGATGATATAGGGACACCTGGAAGATCCCCACATTCCCATCTTGTTATATGCCCTACAGGGTTACCCAGTGTGGCACATAATAACGGGGCTTCCACAACTTTGATTCTCTGGCTTGTGTGGTCCAAGAGAATACCAGAAAAGTGTACAGTTGTGGAAAGGGGAGCCATGGTACATATCCCCTTTGCTTTCTCCCTACTACTGGATGGTGATGACCTCCTATTCCCTTCACCTTTATTCTTGGTTACTGTGCCCTCCTTCCTCTTTCTATTCAGACCAGGAAGTGAATTCAGAACCCTACCATCACTCACATTTGAGGGTCCCCTCCACTTTTGGTGTCCCCCACTCTACCATGAATAGTACCTTCATCAACTCTTTCCTGTGTGTCCTGCTGTCCTGAGGCTGAAGGGAGAAAATGTGGCCATTGAAACAATCTCTCCAAGGCAAGAATCTGCAACAGGGGATGAGTGGTAAAGAAACTGGGATGATTGGGGATAAAGTTAATAACCCAAAGCAGGTGTGGGCAAGAGAAGGATTCTAGAAGAAAATGGACAGAGAAAAGAGAAGAAGGGTGGAGGAGGCAGAAGTAGGAGTAAGAGAAGGAATAAAGAGCGAAGAGATAAAATATCATGGAGGAAGGGAAAGGGGAGGAGCAGAAAACAGGGAGATGAGAAAGACAACAGGCAAGGAGGGAGAAAAGATGAGGGGAGTTCTGTAGAGATGACTCAGTGGGCGGAGTACAAATGTGAGGACCTGACCTCAGATCTCTAGCACCCACATACAATCTGGGCAGTGTGCGCCTGTCACTTCAGTGCTAGGCGATCCCAGGAGCCCACTGGTCAGCCAGTCTAGCTGGAGCCAAGAGCTCCAAGCTCAGTGAGAGACCTTGTCTCAAAAAGCATGGCAGAGACAATAGTGACAGACACTTGATGTTGACCTCTGAATGTCACAGTCTCACACCTGGGCAAGCACACCATCACACATGTGTGCATACACTTATGTCAGAGACACACACACACACAGAGAGAGAGAGAGAGAGAGAGAGAGAGAGAGAGAGAGATATCTTGGGGGATGGGGACAGGAAAATTGGAGGGTGGTGATAAAGAGGCAAAGGAAAGAGAAGAGGGGAAAAAGGCCACTGTGGCACAGGAAGAGGCCTTGCCATTTCATCAGCTATTCATCCCCTTTGTTTTTAGACAGTCTTAGGGGTTCAGACTGCCCTCAGATCCACTATGCACTTGAGAATGACCTTGAACTCTTGATCCTCCTGCCCGCAACTCTCCAGTTCTAAGATTGCAGGTGTGCACCACCATGCCTAATTCAAGCCGTGCTGGAGCTTGAATCTGGGTCTTGTGTGTTAGGCAAACACAATCTACTGAGCCAAATCCCCAGCTCTAGGCTGGTTTCTTTCCTACCAAACCTTTAAGACACAAGAACCAGGTCAAGTCCTAAGCCTCCAAATGCCATGGTACCCTCTCCACCCCCAACTTACCCACACTACCCCCATCCTCACCTCCAGGCACAAGCCTGGCCACTCTCCTCCCTCTGCTCAAGGAAGATTTTACACAGCAATATCGGATGTGGGCAGTTGTTGGAGGTCTTCACCCCACACTTGGTGCAGACATTTTGTAAACAAAACAGCCAGAGCACACACAGGTGAGGCCAGAACACACGCAGGTGAGGCCAAAGCACATGCAAGTGAAGCAAGCTTTGGGCTATAGGGGACTAGGGACAGGCAAGGAGGAAGTGGGGGAGCAAAGGAGTTCAAAATCTCTTGGGGCATGGAAAAAACTAGAACCCTTCCTCACTTCCTCCCAAGAGCAAGGCCAATTGGAATAGTTTCACTTTGGATCTTGCTGCCAATGGCAAGAGTTGGATTCTTCCCCAAGTGTTGGAGGGGAGGTTTCTCAAAAAATCCATCCTGTGGGGTCTGGGTTCTCACCCACCACATGGAGAAAGCCACAAGCATGATTTTGAAGAAAAGTCAGCGTATTCTTTCTGTTCATTGGCTTCTTTCTTTTCCCAGAAGACTTGAGAAAATTTTAGACATGACCACACATCCACCCACTCCAGTAGACAAGCAATGTCTGGATAACAACCAGACAACACAGAGGGATACTGTACTCTGGGATGAGCTTCCATTGTCTGAAGACAAACAGAAAAATCCATAAGTGCATAAAATTGCCTCTCAGGGTAACTGCTATAAGGAATGATCTTTCAGACAAACTTCCCCCAACACTGTATTTGTTTTATTTTGCTTGAGAATGTTTTTCTGTATTGCCCTGGCTGTCCTGGAACTTGCTCTGTAGACCAGGCTGGCCTAGAACTCACAGTGATCTGCCTGCCTCTGCCTCCCAAGTGCTGGGACTAAAGGCCTGAGTCACCACACCCAGCAAGTTCAATACTGTACTCTATAACCTTCTTGGATCACAGGATTGGAGCTGTCCAGAGGCATGATGGGTATCTCTAGCTAGGGGAATCACCGAATTCCTTGAGTGGGGTCAGGTGGACCAAAGACAGTCATGTCTCTGTTTCAGCGAGGATGGATGCACACATTTCAGAAGGTCATGACAAGAGCTCAGGGAGGGGCTTCTCTGCTTGCACGAATGCTCTTAAAATCCAAGGAATCCAAGTTGGCTGAAGAGAGGTTTTCTAAGTCTTTCTTTTAAAAAAATAAATTGCATTTTTATTTTTACTAGTGTGCACTTTTGAGTGTGTGTGGCCAGAGGAGAACTCTGTGGTGTTCTCGTCTCCTACATCGCCAGGGTTCCAGGGTTGAACTCAGGTCTCTAGGCTTGTACGACAGGTGCCTTTACCTGCTGAGCGTCTTGTCTGCCTTTGTTATCTAAGTCTCTTGTAGCTTGATGCATGTTAAGGGAACACACATGCACGTGTGAGTTCATGCATGTGCATGCACACACACACACAACACACACACACACACACACACACACACAAACACACACACACAGCATGCTCTTCAGACGACACTTACTAACTAACCCATAGTCGGGATCCTCATGCCCCAGACTTCTGAGTTCATCCTGCATAGACCTCAGCTCTAAAGAGGACATAAAGACCTCTTGGAAGGAACCATAACCAAGGTGACCTTGGGAGACTGAGAATCCTGAGGGATTCACACCCTACAGCTGCCCTTCAGAGGCCAAGCTCCATCCTTCAGACCCCAGGCCCCAGATCCACATCCAATCAGTCCAGATCCCTCCTCCCCATGCAGGTGTCCAGCAGGAAAGGAAGAAAGGAAGCGTGATACTGGTACCTTCTTACAGTCTTCACACATGACACAGGCAGAGCCCAGCATGCCCAGCTGCTCTCCACACAGAATGCAGCGGTTCACGCCTTCCGCGGCCACATTTTCCTCATGTTCTCCAGACGGTCTGCCAGGTGCCTGGAGCAGAGACAGGACAGTAAGGACCCCCAGGACCCAATCAGAGGGGGACCCTCCATCTCTGATTCTATGTTCTCGAGGATCTGACAGCGGCTGAGAAGCCTTCCCTGAAAAGGACTTCCAGTGCCAATACTTTCAGAATGTCTGAGCCCACTCCAAGTCCAGGCCCCTCAGTGGCCATCAGTGCTAATGACTTCATGTTCAGGCCTCTTTTAACTCACATAGCCTCCTCCAGGGATTGGCATTCAGAGTTCTGAGTTGGCTCTCAGGCATCTGGAATAAACACTTTCAAACTAAGTATACTGCAAGCACCTGTCAAAATGCAGATTCTGAAACATAGGTCTGAGGTGTATCTTTCTAGAAAACTCTGAAGCAGTGCTGCTTAGTGCTGCTGACCCAGCTTCCAACCAGATAATGAAGCAATAGGTCTAAACATAGAACCTCCAGCCCCGGAAAGTCTTCAGCATCTGGATTTTCAACATATCATCTACCAATTTCAAGTCCTCTCTGTAACATGAAGGCCGGCTTGCTGGGGTATCTGTTCCCGCCCAGTACCCCACAGCTGGCAAGTCCCAGAGAAAATCAATCACACAGAGATCTCTATAAGTTATAAAACTGTTTGGCCCATTAGGTCAGGCTACTTATTAGCTCTTATAACTTTTGTTACCCCATTATCCTTATCTACGTTAGCCACACGGCTCAGTACCTTTCTCAGCTGGGCAGGTTACATGCTGCCTCTTCGGTGGTCTGGGCAGGAATGGCAGAGGGAGCTTCCTGCTTCCCAGAATATTCCCAGTCTCTTTGCTCCACCTCTACTTCCTGTCTGGCTTTTCCGTCTATATTGCCTGCCTGGCCAATCAGCGTTTTATTAAAATATGATTGACAGAATACAGACAATTCTCCTGCATCACCTCTCCCTGCCCTTTGCTCACATCAAAGGTTTACTGGTCCAGCTGGGTGAGGTGGCTCACATCTATAACCCTAGCATCTGAGGAGCAGAGGTAGGAGGGTTGTTGTGCGTTCCAGGCCAGGTTGCGTTCCAAGGTTATAGAGTGAGAGCCTGTCTCAAACAAAATAAAAGCAATGTCAACAAACAAAGTGAAAGGCTTGCTGTCTTATTCTAGACACAGGGGCAGGGCACTGGAACTGGGTTTGCTCATATCTTTGTGGTGTGAAGCCCACAGTAAACCGAGGGCAAGAGAGCCCTTGGAAGGACCTGGGAACCAGAGCCTCCCCAGAGGGTTGCCTTGCAGCCCTGCCCACAACCATCAAATGTGGACTCTGTATGAGGGTCCTATGGCTCCTGAAAAGTCAATTTCTGGTGCTTTTCCTGTGAGTCCCCGCAAGGGAGCAGGGAGGAGCAGCCTATAGGCCATGGCACCTCCACTGTGACCTAGGCTACACCTCACTAG